TCACAATGCGTACAATTAAATTCTTTTCCTGATAAATAGAAGGGCGTAACTCCTAAACCATGTTTAGATATTATAGGCTTATTATGCACTGAAATAAGGTGTTCGCTAAGTGCATTCAGATCCGTCATACGCGTTGGACAAAGTTCGCATTGTAGATTAGTGACTTCAGCCTTAACGTTGGCGAAAGTTCGAGCTAGGCGTAACGCTTCTACTTTATTGGGATGCTCCACAGAATGGGTTTTAACCTCACTAAACTCGCCAAATGAGAGAGGGCAAAAGGCGCAAGTGAATGCCCCTCGTTTCCACCGAAAAGGGCAAGCGTTCGAACATTCTAGAATGATTGCAGCATTATCTCTGTAATCGTTATACTTGCGTTTCGGCCGCCATTTTACTTTGAGATCGATGCGCCCTAAAAACAAAAAGAATATTGTCACTTTGGAGCGGAGTGTAATGGTATAATTAGGAAATGTATTTGATTGAATTAAGATGAAACTGTTATTACTTATGACGAAAGAAAAAGTTAGAACGATATCCTTGAAATAATGCAATTAATAGTGTCTATACTATCTCAAAATAATTTACATGTTTTTGTGTCAAACGATGAGCCTACTGCACTATAATTGAATATGAATTTAGATCACAAAATTCCGCTGTAGGATTTGTTAGAAAATTGATAAACAATTCGCCTAGCTCGATTTGGTCAACCCGTCGAAACTGGATAAAGAAATCCATAATAAAAAAAATGTTATACTTAATTTTAATCAGTCATATTTAATTCTATGCGTTCTCAAATGCCGCACCAACTTCGATTTACTAACAAACACAGACGGACAATTGGGACAATAATGTCGCTTTTCTACATTGGCATGCGTCAAACGGATATGTCCCGCTCTTTTGGAACTGGACTCGAAACTTTTATCGCAAGCATTGCAGAAGTATTCCTTTTTCTGTTCTGCGTGGGTTTCTACTAAATGTTTGGCTCTAGCGTGATACGTAGTAAAAACTTCAAGACATCTTGGACAAGCGTAACGGACCCCTTTTCTATGCACCTTCATTCTGTGACACATCCGAGCTGCTCTAGTTTCTAGTATTTCGTCGCATTCCCCACAAGGAAAGCTACCCTTTTCATGAGACTGCACATGTTTCCTAAACCTAGATTTCGAAACGAAGGCCTTTCCACAAGAATCGCAGATGTAATTCTGGAAATGAGTGTTCATATGTTCGTTCAGTTTCGCGAAAGTATGATAAGGTTCAAAGCACATCTGGCAGCTAAAACCTTCTTCGTCTAACTTGAACGGTAGGACGCCATCACTGTATTCTACGTTTAGGGTTTTGCCGTGTATCAATAAGTGGTCTTTTAAAGCGTCTATACTGTTTAGAATTCTACTACATAACCTACAAGCCAGTTCAGCAACATCTACTTTGACCATATTATTTTCTGTGAGCTTCGAGAAAATTCTATCAGTAGGAGATTCGTTTAGGTGGTTAATTTTGACATGTGTGCGGAGGAGGGGGACGTCGACAAACTTTGCGTCGCAGTAGGAGCAATAGAAAGCGCTGTGAAACCATCTAAAGGCCCAAGCGGTGGAACATTCGAGAAGAATCATGGCGTTACGACGCATCATAGTTTTGGATATTCTTTTCTCCGATTCCTCAGGGAGCTGGTTGTTTGCCCGACGGCGCCTGCGCATCTGACGCGCGCTTACGACTTCTTTCACCTTCCTAACTCGTCTAACGCCTAGTTTCCCCTCCGCTTCGATAGCGGAACCTAGAAATCAAGAAAAACTGAGTTATTTAGTTTAATTGTTCCTTTGTACCAACTCCCGAGACATGCATTATTAGATGTGTGTGACAGTGTGATTTAACAATTTGTATCCTTTAAAATCCTTTAGTGTCGTGGTGGCCCGGAGGTTTAAGACGCCCGCTGCTCATGCATGAGTTCGAAACTTACCAATGGCAAGTACCAATGTGACTTTTTCCGAGTTATATGTACTTTCTAAGATTATTTAGACACCACTGACAAACGGTGAAGGAAAACATCAATGTGAATAAAATGCTCAAACCTTCTCCGTGTGAGAAGAGGTTTTGCTCAGCAGTTATTGCATTTATAGGCTGTTGATGATGATCCTTTAAAAAGTAAGTCCTTTGTGTCATTAATAACTCCTATCTTATTAAAATTATTCGCCATTTTCATGAGCATATCAAAGTTATGGTTACCTTGATGAAACTGCTACTTTAACGAGCGTTAACACATAAAATAAGGAACGCTTGACTTGAAAATGTGATATAGAAATAAAAGAGATTATCAGCATAACCATTATAATGATAAAAAATGTACCAATTTCTTCATATAGATAATAGAATCGTACCTTGAATACATTAAGTTTAAAAAAATACTGTTCATAACGTTGCATTTAAAATTAAATCTTAACATCAGTAGGAACTAAATCAGTCAATTCGTGTGGATTTATAGAGGGCAGCCTATGCGTCCTCTGCTTAAACATTGGGGCACGCCATTTGTTATTCATATCTTGATGGGTCTTCAAATGCGTTGTGAGCGCTCTATTCCTTGGAAACGACTTCCCACAGACAGAACAATGAAAATTCTTCTCTCCTGTATGCCTTACCATGTGCCTCTTAAGCTCATAATTAGTTCGAAACTGCCACTCACAATAATTACACCCATAATTAAGCTGGGGTGGAAAATGTACAGTCCGTACATGAATCGCGCGCTTCCCACTAGTCTTAAACGACAAATCACAATGAGAACATCTGTAGGAAACTTCGCGTTCACTGTGAGCGTTTTTCATATGATCCACTCTATCATAATAATTATCAAATCGGATGTTACAATGAGGACATTCATATCTAGGTGCTTTTGGGTGTACAGAGGCTTTATGGGAGTCCCTTGCCGCTCTCATAATGAAAATCCTTCCACACTTATTGCAAGGAAAAGACCCAGAGATATGTACTTCTAAATGCTTTCTTAACCGAGGTGCCGTCATGAATCCTTTTCCGCAAGTAGCACAGATGTAATGTTGGTAATGAATGTTCATATGTTCATAAAGTTTTAGGAAATTGTTGAACTTCTCCGCGCATATGATACATTGCCAGGATTGTTTGTCTAGAGAGAATGGGAGGACTCCATCAGGGTGATATGGATTAAACTGTAAACCATGTTGCATTACATGTTCCCTGATTTGCGCAACGTCTGTTAAAGGTAAGGAGCATAAAGTGCAAATGGCATCGGTTATATCCACATTGATTAATGACATTTCTTTAAATTTGCTATAGATATCTTTGATGCTATGATTTCTTGCGCAAAGACGGACATGGCTGCGAAGGTCGATACATTCTGTGAAGTTTTCCTCGCAGTAAGCACATTTGAATCTGTTCTTCTTCCATCTGAATGGTAAGAGAGACCAGCACTCGAGGATTGTGGTAGCGTTACTCTTGGTTATAATTCTGGCTTCAGCTCTTGCACTCCTGGTATATTTCGGCTTGGGTATCTTTTCTAATTCGTAATTATCTTCGTTTTCTACGAGGCTTTGGTCGTCCTCGTTCGTTTGACGGCGTTGTCCTAAAAATAGAAAATTTTCGTCAGATTCCGTCCCAAAGGTTGTCACTTCTCTGTTCTTCGTGGTTTTCGGATTGGTTTATGGTATAAGAAGCCTCTGCTAGAATTTCGCAGAATATTGTTTTTTAAGGATTAGTATTCTCTTCATTTCTTATTGTTAACAAGTTTATGATAAATGTTTCCGTATTATGTGTTGATTCAAAGATTGATTGTCTGTTCTTACAATTTTTTCTTATATTGTGTTTAAGATATCATTAAATAAGGTCTATATGAGACTCATTTTGTGTTGTATTCTGAAAAATTGTTTCAGTTTTTTATCTAAATACTATTATTAGTCCTTTCCTTAAGAAGATCGATAGATAATGTCATCAAGTTGTTTGAAATAAAAACCAATATAAACTATAATCTCTTTATTAGACTTATTGCTTAGTTACGTCTTAGTATTATACATGATACTTTTATTACAATAGTTAACCTACATAATAAATTACATACGAGCTCACTGGCTAATTACTAAAATACATTTTGAGAAACATGCTGAGAGAGAAGTAACAACCTATTAATACAAACAATAACTGGTAAACCATTGCAAAACCAAACTTGGAAAGCGCATAGGAACTTATAGTACATTATCAAAACATCACGCCGTGTAGTTCTCGTCGGGTGGCACGTGCGATGCAAATACTGCCTATAAATTTACGTCTAGTGTTTCATGAGTATACCCACGAATTGTTTTTTCATTTAATCGAAAGATACATCAAAAGTACTCCTTATAGCAAGTTGTTTTGCCACGGATTAGTGTATGTAGAGAAAGAACATAGTCCAAATAAGGACTATTGATAATAATTATAGAATACTATGTAGTAAGTAATTAAACTACAATTAAGCCTTGTCCCAGCATATTTCTCAGACAATATTTCTTGAGCTACGACCATCAGTAGAGAGCACTGTAGCGCAGCAATACAAGTTGAATACAACCGTCAACAACGCTTGAGATCCTAGTTTACTTATACAATCAACAGATGGCGCTAAATACAATTTACGTAACATCTTATTATGGACCATATCAACGCCATCTATTATATGAAATTAAATGCAAGAGATACAAAGATAAAAAAATAAGTAAAACTATCATCGGTGTAGTAAATGGAAATTAATAAAAATATAGACTTGTAAAATTCAAAGTTGATTGTTTCATAGAAAACTAAATCAATATTGCGTCGGTGCGCCTGCCAAAATTGTTATGTGCATTTGGTCAAGTTTTCAGGAGGAGACAATTAACTATTTTTTACACTTGCACTGAAAGGTAATAAGGACTTAGCAATAAATTAAAAATGCAGTATGATGGCAAAAATTATGATAAAAATAACTGAGATAAAAGTGAAAATGATAACATGTACTGTTCATCCCCAATAATTTTATTTTTCGATTTTGGTGCACATATCAGATTTATCTTAGAAAATGGTAAAAAATTTAAACAAAAACTGTTGATATTCAATCTGCCAAACTGTCTATGTGATGCTGCAACTTCTGACATGTGCGTTTTATGTCACATAACCGTAACCAATCGAACACATAACCAATTTTTCATGGCCAGAAAGTGCACATATAAGATTGGTCTAATCGATTTCTGTAGGGAAATAACACATATTTGTTTTTGTACTCGATGCGCTATCCGATTTGAAGGACATCTAGCTAAGAAAAAAAACCAAATATTTGCACATATCAGTTTTGGCAGGCGCACCGACGATTGTTAAAATTAGAATAAAAATTACACAGTAATGGCAGTATACAGACTTTATAGTCATGCAATGGGGACAACTGTATTTTTGCTCACTAGATGGTGCTAGTGTGTACTCTCATCTTTCGTCCAATAGGGAATTAGCTATCACATCATTGGACGTTTAATATTTGACCAATACAGTGATTGGACAAACAGACTTCTTCCTAGATTAGCGCCATCTTGTGAACAAAGAAAGAGTAGCTCCCATTGTGATTATGGTATTTAAGATTTTTTTAAATACACATATAGTGTACGCTTTGTTATCTCACTCTCTCATACATAACCTTTCTTGAGCCCTCCTCAAAGGGGAATCGTCCAATACCTTCTCCCGCCTTTGGTGGCGAGAAGAATTATCAGACTTTTATTGACTAAAAACCACCCCATTTCTACTCTACTGCTTTGAGCCGGAGCTTTGGTATAGGTATAGTATATATATGTCCCGTTAGGTAGTCCGCAGCTCCGGCTCATACGTAACCTAGGCAGATCATTTGACTTAAAATATATTTTAGTTAATATGAGCATTTCCTCTTGATAGCAACCATCGCGTCTAAAATAAAATAACCACAATATACAAATACTAGTATTTTCATTATAGTGGGGCTACATTAGCGGGCTACGGCGATGCATGTGGCCGGATACATCATTGCAACACGATATATTCGCGTGCAGACGATGTACCATCGAGATTCGGGGCACTGTCGGTGTTGTGTATCTGTGGTATACTCTATGGTCATAGTACAGTCTATGGTGATATATTATCTATGTGCGAGGCGGAGCCCGCGAATTTGTAAAACAATTGAAGACGTAATAAATGTGTGTGTCGATAGCTTCTCTATTTTTACTTATATTTCGTTTGCTTATAATATATTTAACAGTAGCGACGAGTTTAGCCACACATTTTAATTCCAAAATGAATAGTTTTGGAAATCGTACAAAGGCCGAATTACGCAATGGTTAAACTTGAAAATTACCGTGATAAATAAAATTTCTTATTTAACTGGCGAGCTTTTCGCGACAATATTCGGTTGAGTCGCCACATCTACGTCACTTCAGTATCGTCCAGACCTTGAAGTGGGACTGACATCCTAGTGTTTTTGTACACTATGGAGTGGAGTAACGAAAACTGCTTCCTCCATCGCCTGCCGCACAACTAAACAACGAATATTCGCCGTAGGCCGCTTTCAGAATCTAGACAATACCCGCCAATGTAGAGAAGAACATTGTGTATGTCCCAGAAGGGATGTTTTGCGCTCCAATGGGGTAAAAATCTTCACCCGCTAATGTAACCCCAGCATTACAAAAGTTGCATTTGATTTCATTTTCTACTTCTTTATTCTGAGTTTAACGAAAAGATAACTTAATATGTGATGTTAAAAAAATACTTAACTATGACGGTTTTGGCCAACCACCTCTTCACTGAGAACTAGTTAACGTTAGGACCCCTGAACTACACTCTTACTTGTAGTATTGTAACGTATCACTTATAGGTTGGTAAAATCCAAAATGACGTTGGTGTTAATTAAAAGAGGTTGGTGGAAACGGCCATAAATTCCATAAACTCCTAAAGACATCATACATGAAAATGTTTTTTCGCGATATGTTTATCGAGGGACAATTTAGAAGCAAAGGCTCTTGGACAATTGGCACAAGGATAGCTATACTCTGTCTCTTTCTTAGTTCTATGTGCTTTAACATTGTGATGATACTTCTGAGAACGAGTCTTAAAGGTCATATGACAAGTCGTACATTCATACATTTCAGCTCCTGGCTTGTAATTATGAAACTCCATTAGATGCCGCTTCCTTAATTCCCAAGTTGCAAACCTCGGTTTTTCTTTACAGTAAACGCACATGTATGGTAAAGTCGTATGCTGTGTTTTAATGTGAACATTTCGCTCTTCTAAAGTTGTGAATGTTGCTACGCATCGACTGCAATTATATTTGTTGTCGTGCGGTATTTTCGTGTGTGCTTTTAAAGCGGACTCAGTTATAAAGCCCTCCCCACAGGTATCGCATACATAATTCTGATAATGTTCAGCCGTGTGCTTCTTTAAGGATATAAAGTCTGAGAACTGTATTTTACAAATCGCACATTTCCAGTTTGTTCCATCGTTTAGTTTAAATGGTAGGACGCCTGGTTGTACGTCTGCATTCAAAGGTTGTTTGTGGTCATTCTTAAGATGGGTCATTAAGTCATCTAAAGTCTCAATTGGTATAAAACAAAGTTTGCACTGCAAGTCTGTTATGTCCACTTTTAAGAATTCTTTTCGTATTTTTCTGCTAAAGACTAGTTGGATATCAAAATTCGCGTGCCGAGAAGCCATGTGGGCTCTCAAACCTATAGGGTCATTTGATTGCACTCGGCAAAATACACAGTTGAAATTCTGTCCCCAAGTTCTAAACGGACAAGCGGTGGAACATTCTAGAATGATTTCCGTATTGCTTTTGTATTTCAAGGCTTTTCCGAAACGTGGATTGTAAGAGGATTTATAGCATTTGAAATTACGCTCATGCTGTCTTAAACCATGATCTGACAGAAAAGTAGCACCGCATTTGTCGCAAGTGAAAATTTTCATATGCGTCCTTAAATGAACATTTATTTGTGAGAATTTTGGGAATGTTTTATCGCATTCCAGACAAGTCCATCGCCCAGAAGGTGCCTGTCTATAAGGCAGAACTCCGAAAGGTACATCAAAGTTGACTTTAATTTTGTGATCACGCGAAATATGGTTCATAAAATTATCTATATCAGGAATGTCTTGTGAACACATGTTGCACTTTAAATCAGTAATTTCTACTTTTAGGGCATCGTAGACTTTATAGAAAGCGCTGTTGTAGTCAGCAGTGGAATGTTCGGCTTTCATATGTTCCCTCAACGCGGCCATTGGCTCAAACTCATCGTGGCAGTAGGAACAGACGATTCTATTGAAACGGGTCTTAAAAGGGAAAGCTGTCGAGTGCTTAAGTACTAGAACAGCGTTCTGCCTTTGCGGGTTCTGGCCCACGGACCGTTCGAACAATCTTTGTTTTGGTTTACTTTCAAGTCCGTCAATATCCTTTGTGGACCCTAAAAAAGAAAAGAATTTTTATCATTATTATATTCTAGTACAGCTTCTGGCTTCGGAGAAAATGGTATCTTGAATTATTAATGTTCTACTCGCAATTTTTTAAGAAGCTAAAATAATAGTTTCACATCACACGGCATCGTATTTTAAACGCATAGATTTGGGTTCCTCTAAAAAAGCCAGGTTAGCAAGTTGAAAATTAAGGAATATTTAGAGAATACCTAAGTACGTCCAGCGCACTTTCATCTTGCAAACATTATCCTTTATCCTTGTAGGAAATCATTGCATTATTATTATGTATGTCCACTTTATATTTCCTGAGTATTAAATGTCTTAATGTACCTTCACGCTTCTATACCCAACCGTATACATCGTCTATTAACAAATAAATAAACTTTACAACAGAAATATCGTACCTATATACAATCTTTTGCATAAAAAATAAAACGAAAACTACTTCAAACTAAATCAAACGTCCGAATGTTTGTTCGCAACATGCTTATCCAAGAACAGTTTAGTTGTAAAAGCCTTTGGGCAGCTCGCGCAAGGGTAACCAAGTTCAGTATCTTTCTTTATCCTATGCACCCGAGCCATATGATTGTATTTCCCCGACCTCGTTTTAAAAGACTTCTGGCATGTTGTGCAATCGTACTTATCAGCCCCGCTTTTGTAATTATGGACCGCCATTAGGTGTTTTTTTCGTACCTCCCAATTCGCAAATCGAGGTCTATCTTCGCAGTATATACAGACGTATGGTAATGAAGTATGCTGAGTTTTAACATGCATATTTCTTTCGTCTAGCGTCGAAAACGTTGCTATACATCTGCTGCAATTATATTTGTTCTCATGCGGGATTTTCGTATGAGCTATCATCGCCGATTCTGTTATAAATCCCTCCCCGCACGTGTCACATACGTAGTTCTGAAAATGCTCAGCAGTATGCTTCTTTAGAGATACGAAATCTTTGAATTCGTTTGGACATAGCGTACATTTCCATATAGACCCATCATTTAGTCGAAAAGGTAGCACTCCTAATTGGGAATCAGTGTTGATCGGTTGCTGGTGATCATTCTTAAGATGGTAGATTAAATTGTCAAAAGAATCTATAGGCATGAAGCAAAGTTTGCATTGTAAGTCAGTTATATCAACATTCAGAAAATCTTTTCCTAACTTTTTGTAAAACGCGGCTTTGACGTCATAGTTCGCGTGGATAGTGACGACATGCAATCTTAGACCGCTCGGATCTCTACTTTGGACCCTACAGAAGACGCAATTGAAGTTACTTTTCCATGTCCGAAAGGGACTGGCTGTGGAACATTGAAGAATAATTTCTGCATTGGTTCTAGGCTTTAGGACTCTTCCATTGCGAGCCTTATACGCTGTGCGAAAACATTTCACCTGTCTGTGGTGGTCTTTCAAGGCATAATCAGAGATAAACATCGTTCCACACTTATCACAACTATAGTTCATGAAATGAGTCACAATATGGCGATTGAAAGAAATGAAGGCGGAGAAAATCTTATTGCAGTAGACACAGAGCCATTTGTCCTCTGAACTTTCCTTATAAGGCAACACTCCGTACCGAGCGTTGAATTTAACCGGCTTATTGTGTTCTCTATACAAATGATTCATTAAACTATCAACGTCTTGGATTTCTTCCCTACAAATCTTACATTTCAAGTTAGTTATATCTATTTTGATTAAATTATCTCTTGCTCTATAGAAAACGTTTTTGAAACCAGACTTTATATGTTCTGATTTCATGTGATACCTAAGATCTGCTAGCGTGTTAAAGTCTTCATGGCAGTACGAACAGAGTATTTGACTGAATCTAGTTTTAAAGGGGAAGGCAGTGGAATAGCTTAGAATGAGTTCAGCGTTACGCCTTTGTGGGGTCTGGTAAACAAGGACTATTTTCTTTTTTGATTGTTCTGTGTCACTACGTCCGTGAATTTCCAATGGACGACCTAAAAACAAAAAAGAAAATGGTCAGTGTTGTACCGGGAGGACAAAAACTCTAGTATCTAACTAACGAACTAGCATGACCGAAAAGAAACTATTTGATAATTACCTAAAATGGGTTAGCTTCGGAAATAAATGAATAGGAATAAAATCAATATCTTTATTAAAATTTTAAAGAAAACATGACAACCAATAACAATTAATCAGAACACAATATTGACTTCTGGATGGTTAGTTTTCATGTGAGATTTGAGACTGACTTTTTGATTGAATTGCTTTTCACAAAGGAGGCAGACAAATCGCTTGGTATCACTGTGTATCCACATATGTTGGGTCAGACTCTTCTGTCGGACGAAGGTCTTGGAGCAAATATTACACACGAATTGTTTCTCTCCAGTATGACCAAGGGTGTGGTCATCCAACTGCTTCTGCGTATTAAACTTCATACCACAACAAGCGCATTGGAATCCCTCATCTGTATGCGTCAGTTTGTAATGAGTGTAAAAGTACTTTCTGGTCGAAAAATTCATGTCGCAATCAGGACATTTATACATAATTTTGTCCTGTCCATGCTCGATCTCCAAATGCTTCTGTTTCTGCTCCCAAGATTGGAATCTCTCTCCGCAAATTATGCAACAGAATGTCCAACATTTCTTATTAGATTTTATATGATCCCTCTTTTCTTCCATTGTGGAAAACTCCCGCCAGCACTTGCGACAAACGTGGTTGTCTGAATGGTTGACCTTGATATGGTATTTTAAGGCTTCGTGTGATAGATAGTTTCTGCCACAAGTGTCGCAAGTAAAGCGTTTGTAATGGAGGATGGTGTGACGACATAGGGTGGTGACGGAGGGCATTTTTTTATCGCAGTGGTAGCAAGAGTAGTTGTTGCTATCTAGTCTGTAGGGTTGGACACCTATGTCATAGTCGAGGTTTAGTCTCTTAACAGCCTCTTCATGAACTTCCTTTAGGTGTTCTGCGATCTCATCAACCTTTTCAAAGGGCTGTAAACATAGTCTGCACTTCATGTCAAAGATGTCTACTTTGATGTACTCTTTGGCACTACTCATGTGGTAGAATGCTGTGGTAATGTTGAAATGCTGGTGGTGTTCGTCGGCGTGTCGTCTAAAGTGCGCGGGGTCTTCATATCCTTCGCAGCAATAGACGCAAGTGATTGATTTCCCTCGTAATCTGAACGGATACATGGTGGAACACCTCAATAATATTTCTGCGTTTTCTTTCGCCATTAAATGTGGTTCTAGAAACAAAAAGAAAATATCGCTGTGACTGATCGGATCACTTCCTTGTTTTCGGATTTTTGTGTTAATTGGAAGTTAAGGGAAGTAATAATCACCCATCGAGTGTTAATCAAGTTAGTCTCTTTGAATGTTTATTCTTATTAGCTTCTGTGAAGTTGTTTAAGGATATCGTCGAAAATAGTATATTGTTAAATAGACCTCAGATTAAATATTTGGTATCGACTAAATAAAGCAAAAATTTTTTTTCGATCATTTTTACAGGAGTTCAGTGATGTCTATTTTGAAGTAGATTACGTAGGCGGCGCGGCGTTGTGTCGAAGGATTAATGTTTATTTCTAAAACCAGTTCTTTGATACTACTTTAACAGTTTTGGTATTTTACTCCTTTCTTTAGTTATCTTGCCATCATCCTAATTTAATTAGAAGGCAACATACAGTTATATCTTTTACTCAACTTTTCAACAATGGGCAGATAGTTGTTTTTATTTTCTTATACGTTATGGGCTAAATTGGCTAACATTTTGGATACAACTACTTAGAGAAACTTGGAGAAAAGTTTTACTAGTTTCAAGTCCCACGGCGTGCGCGATCGCGGCGATGTCGCGCAGCCTACCAGTCGATGTTGAATAGAGTATTCAGTACGTCTAACGATAGTCCAATTTTGAATACAATTTCTAATAGATCCGACACAAAATGATCTTTTATAAATTAGTCTTGAGAACACTAATGGAGAGATTCGTGATAATCCTTTTACTTTTGGGTCTCGAAATAAAAGAGTAAATAATCATGAAATCGTAATCAATTTATTAAATACTATAAAGGCTAACTATAATAATTTTCTATACAAAACAATTAACGAAATATCAACGTAGTATATTATATTACTGATAAATAAACTATGACAAATATTTAACAGATATTTTATATATATTCATGTGTTTAGAACGCATTTGAAGATACTTACACAAAAAAAAACTTAATTGAGGGCCGATTTTTCAGTCATCAGTTAATTCTAACTATAGAATAAAATTGCCATTTGACAGTTTTTAATATGGAACAATTTGTCAAATTATCAGAGTTATTCCACAGTTAAAATTTATCTGGCGTTGGAAACATTGGCCCTAAATCTTATAATACCTACGTTAATCCTCAGTTTAATAAAATAAAAGTAAAAGGGACCAAGAAAAATGTCTAACGAAGAAAACAGCTCCAAACGCGAACTAAAACCACTATTTACATAATTATAACTGTATTATAATATAATATCTACAATTTAATCCAACAAGATACACACATTAGAATATAATTAAAACTAAAAACAGCCCCTTTACTCGATAATAAAGAAAAAACAGTCAAATATTGCTTTTGTTAGTAAAACCATCTGTCCAGCCGTTTCCGAGTTATACACGATTAAACGACAAACTATATCCATACATACTTTACATCACACGCCTTTTATTCCCTAAGGGACAGACAGAGGTGCACCTTACGGGACTTAATGCCACTGTACAATGTAACACCTACTTTCCACTATTTATGTTATGAGTCCCATGTAATAGGGGGTGAGGCTAATGCCATATACCGGACACAACTACACTCAGGTACTCACTAAACAGGATTAAATAAAATACGAAACGTAATATGTCCGATTTGGCTACCAGAGACCAGGGAGATTTTGTACTAACTAACTTCATTCGCGTTTCCTGTGAGATAAAAAGTGGCCAATGTGTCTACCAGAATCTAACCCTGATCCAAATTTCAATCCAAACCCTTCAGCCGTTT